TCTGAGGTTCCCAGGCGCCCATATGCTGCGGCAGTTATTTGGTTGATGTGCGCTTCAGGAGATGTCCCTGGTGTTATACTCACCCAAGATTTTTTTCCTTTGGAGTGATGTTTTATCTCTCCCCCCTTTTGACTGTACTCTGTCTGCGGTCTTCTTTCCCCTTCCCCCAACCTCATGATTTTGCATTGGGGGATTGAAACCCCAGAGCCAGTTGTGGACCAGGTCTCAGCTGTCCAGATCCCTTTGTAGTTTGCCTGGTTTTTGTCGAATGAACTTTTTCTCATAAATTCAAGTATCGCAAACGGGGACACCTCGGAGTTTTTTCCCTTTTCCGTCATGTTTTTACAAATACCAGAAAAGCCTGGCCCTAGGACGCCCCTGTGGGAACCCGCTGGCCCACAGGTGCCCACTCTGACACCTCGCCACGTACCTTACTTGTGCTGTTTCCCTGAAAATATTCCCTGATCCTTTTGCGGGCCCTTTCCCTCTGTTACCCCTGCTTGGCCCTCCAGTTTTTGCACTAATTCTGTGTGGTACTGTGTAAAACGCCTTTTTGCGTCCAAAAAAATGCAACCACCCACCCCTCTCCTTTTTGTTTACTGCTGTCACCATGTCATAAAAAACTCCAGTAGGTTTGTGACACAGGTTTCCCGTTCTGAAACCATGTTGGCTGTGGTGATGAGACTTTCTTTAGGGTTCCCCTTCTTCCCCTGACAATTTTTCCATGATTTTGCATGCTATACATGTCAGTGACATGGTCTGTAGTTTAGGCTTCATGTCTGTCCCCTTTTTTTAAAGTTTGGGGACACTTTGTGTCTTCATGCCTCAGGCAATCTCCTTGTTTCGATAGATGTATTGATATTGTTGTTAGGGGACACATAGCACCTCTGCCCCCTCTCTCGGCCCAATGGAGAGATGTTACTGGCCCCATTCCCTTTGAGGTATCAGCCCCTCAGAAGCCTTTCATTTTTCCCTGGTTGTGTGTATGTGTCCAGAAATGGTGGGTCCCCCAACTCTCCGTCTTTCTGGGCCCTTCTGTCCCCTTGTGAACACTTCTTTAAACTTTGTTGAGCCCTCACTACTTCTGGTTATTTCTTGTTGTCTCTCCCCCTTCTTTCTTAGCCTGTTACCTGGCCCTTGCGGTTGTTTTTCCTGATGTGGCTGTTTAACAGCTTCGGGTCAGATTTGGCTTTTGTTTGCTATGTCGTTTTCAATTGCGTTGGGCCTCCCTTCTTATCTGGCTATTCGTTTTGGCTCTACGCTGTTCTCCTTATTCTGGGGGCCCTTTTGCCTTTATATTTTTTCCATTTCCTAGCAACTTGGTTTTTCCCTCCTTGATTTTGGGTAACCATGGGTCACCCTGGTTTTCCATTATTCCTGTTCCCCTTGGGTACAAACCTTCCTCCCCTCCTTGCAATTGTTGTTTACATTTCATATTCTTTAAACGGCCCCCCTGCCTTTCTCTGTCCCACTGAACCTTTTTCGGGAAATTTCCTCTTTCCCTGTGTAGTCCCCTTTTCCCTGATTTTGGTTTCATTTGTCGGGCCTTCTGTTTCCCCCCTCCACTTGTCCCTCTCTTGTTTTCGAAGCTAAAAACCCAAATGATGTGGCCCCAAAGGGGGCTTTTATATGTGAGTCCCCAAAATCTGCACTATCAAATGAATACTAAGTCAAGTCTTGCTGGTTCATCCTCTCCCTCTTCTTTGTATGTCCCTTACATGTTGGTACTGAAGTTTCCCAGACCACCTCCATCATTTAGCCCCCTGTATCTTGGCCCCCCTGTGGCTCCAAAATTCTCCCCTTCGATTCCCTTGTGGTTAAAGTCGCCCTGATCAGGAGCTTTGCCTGATGATGAGCTCTTCTCGCCCCTGCAGCCCGTGTGCAAAAATCGCTCTATTGCTCTCGTATACTCTTGCCTTGGCTCCTGTGTTTGTGGTGGGTTATACATCACTGCTTTTCACCTTGGGGGCCACCCGAGTGAAAGGGTTCCCCCTATGTAACCACTTTCTTCTCCGCTGTCTCCTCTCTCCGCTCACAAAATTCCTCGGTGTTTGTCAGCAATGCCCCTCCCCCACCCCCCCGTTCCCTTTTGTCTTTTCTCAGGATCTGGTTTTCCGCTGGAAAGTGGCATTGTTATCTATGTAAGCTTGGTTTCGTGATCGCATGGTTGGTGATGATTCTTTGATCTTTCGTGCCATCTCCCCCTTTTTTTTTTCCATCAGCGTTTGTGTACCAACCTTCAGTTTTCCTTTCCCAACATGTGGTTTGGGGGGGGGCCTGGGGGGGGGTGGGAGACCTGGTAGCATATGTGGGATTTTATTTGGGGGGGGTTTGGGTTTGGAAAGGGGGTATGGATTTTATTGTGTGTTGGGGGGTGTGTTAGGTTGTGGGGTTCTGGGATAGTTGTGTGTGTGCTTAACCTTGCTGCTCTGTTCTGTCTGATGACCCCTGTGGTTCCTCCTTGCCCTTTCCAAGCTTCTTTTCCTTTTTTTTTCCTTCCCCCAGTGCTGTCTCTTGTTTGTGTTGTCTTGTTAGGAAACCTTCTTTACTTTTCCCAGCTTTTCACCGTGGTTTCTCTTGGAGGATCCTGTTTCCCCATGTTTCTTCCTGAGAATCGCTTTTTCGGTTGGTTTTCCCCCCGTACCCCCCCATTCTTGAAAAATTTTCAACTCATCCCTGTCTTCTCCCCCTTTTCCCTGATGATTTTTCAATTTCTTTCTTTCTTCCCCGTCTTTCAGTGTGTGCCCTTTCCCTCTCTCCGAACCCTGGAAATCACGATTTTGCCCCTTTTTTCTCCCCTTTCCTCTCCCTCTGTGACTCTGTTTTCCCGTTGTATTGGTCATTTTCTCCTTTTTTCCGTTGGGTTTTGCAGGTTGTGCCCCAGCATTCGCCTTCCCTTTTCATCTGCACCCATCTGCTCTTCCCCTTTCCACTCCCGGGCCCCTTCTTTGCAGGCGATATGCCTTAGCATAATTATATCTCTTCCTTCCTGTTCAGCCTCTCTCTTGTATGGTGTGGTTTTTTTGGTCACTGCCCCCAGACTTGCTTAGCCTGTTTACCCCAAAATTTTAGGACCTTTACCCTGGCTACTGAGTTTTGATTGTGCCTCCCAAATTTTTTCTCCTTTCCAAAATTTTTCCAAATTTTACAGAGAGCCTTTTTCCCTTTTTTCAGAAAGCTCTCCCAATTTTCTCTCCCATTCTTGCTCTATCCTTTTCCACTGTTCCTCCATCCATTCCTCCCTACCAGTACCATTGTCATCTGATCCCTGATTCCTGCGAGTCCCAACCTTTTTTTTTTTTTTTTTTTTTTTTTTTTTTTTTTAGTGAAAGAGGAAAGAGAAAAAGAAAAAGGGGGAGAGAGAGAAGGGGAGCCTAGAAGGAGGGGAAAAGAAGGGAAAAAGGGGGAGAAAGTGAGAGAGAGGGGGGAGTGACAAGGGAAGAGAGAGAGAGAGATAAAAGAGGAAGAGAGAGAGCAAGAAAGGAAGAGAGAGAGGGAGAGAGAGAGGAAGAGAGAAAGAGTGAGAGAGAGAGAGAAAGGGGGAGAGAAAGAGAGAGAGAGAAAGAGAGAGAGAGAGAGAGAGAGAGAGAGAGAGAGAGAGAGAAAGAGAGAGAAGAGGGAGAGAGATGGGGGGGAAAGGAAGGGTTATAGGGTCCCTTCACAGGAAGGTGTAAAATCCTGTATATGTGTGTGCCGATTTCCCTTAATCTTTCTTCATAGGACATTCCCCTTAGCTCTGGAACTAACCTTGTGACAAACCTTTGTACTTTCTCTAGTTTCTTGACGTGCTTTATCAAGTGCGGGTTCCAAACAGGTGCTGCATACTCCAGTATGGGCCTGACATACACGGTGTACAGTGTCTTCAACGATTCCTTACTAAGGTATCGGAATGCTGTGTGTGTGTGTGTGTGTGTGTGTGTGTGTGTGTGTGTGTGTGTGTGTGTGTGTGTGTGTGTGTGTGTGTGTGTGTGTGTGTGTGTGGTGTGTGTGGTGTGTGTGTGTACTCACCTGTGTGTACTCACCTATTTGTGATTGCAGGGGTCGAGTCTTAGCTCCTGGCCCCGCCTCTTCACCGGTTGCTACTGGGCCCTCTCTCTCCCCACTCCATGAGCTTTATCAAACCTCGTCTTAAAACTGTGTAATGGTTCCTGCCTCCACTACGTTCATTTTCTAGGCTATTCCACTGCCTTACAACTCTATGACTGAAGAAATACTTCCTAATATCTCTCTGACTCATTTGTGTCTTCAACTTCCAATTGTGGCCTCTTGTTTCTGTGTCCCCTCCCTGGAACATCCTGTCTTTGTCCACCTTGTCTATTCCACGCAGTATTTTATATGTCGTTATCATGTCTCCCCTGACCCTCCTGTCCTCCAGTGTAGTCAGGCCGATTTCCCTTAATCTTTCTTCATAGGACATTCCCCTTAGCTCTGGAACTAACCTTGTGGCAAACCTTTGTACTTTCTCTAGTTTCTTGACGTGCTTTATCAAGTGCGGGTTCCAAACAGGTGCTGCATACTCCAGTATGGGCCTGACATACACGGTGTACAGTATCTTGAACGATTCCTTACTAAGGTATCGGAATGCTGTGTGTGTGTGTGTGTGTGTGTGTGTGTGTGTGTGTGTGTGTGTGTGTGTGCTACAGCTATTCAAGTGCCTAACAGCAGAGCTGCCCTCACCTAGTGTGTGTGCATATGTTTATGTAAACAGTCCTTATTTCCCACGTATTTACTACATATGTATTGTATATGTACCCGATCTCTTGGTTCACACTGTACTGTCTTATGCGTTTAAAATTACGTTAAAAAATAAATACACTAGGCTTCGCCTATATGCCGCTACCTCTAAATTCTATTAAATGCCAGTAAATGCTGCTTTTTCTAATTCTGATAGCTCGAGGAGAGTGACCCCCAATTCCAGCTAGAGACAGGTACTATTGACCCCATGCAACTCAAACTAGGTGAATATTACTTGCGGCTGGCAGTGGAGTAACGTTGAGGGTCTGTCCTGTCCCAGAAGTTGATGTTTGATGCTTCTCGGTAATTTTTCCACTAACTTCCTGTATGCACTATAGTCTCTAGCTCATCTAATTTTTTCACTCACTCACTGTATTTACTGACACATCTATACATATCTCTTATCTCCCTGGTCTTGAGTCGCACTTATTCTTCAAAATACCCCACTGTGTTATTATGGCAACACTATTTAGGCCTGACACAACCGTTCACCCTTCCAACGGCCCTCACTAAACACTCAGCCAATATTTCCTTTGTTTTCTTTTCTGTGATCACTTATATTTCCTTTTTTTGGGGCTTAAGTGATTATATGCACTCTTATGCGTGCACACGCCTATATCCCACACTCTATTCCTTATGGCACCGTCAGAAATTACCACCAAAACACGAGCTCAAACCGCGTGACTCCTCCACGGGTGTGTGTGTGTGTGTGTGCGTGTGTGCATGTGTACGTGTGTACGTGTGTACGTGTGTGTGTGTGTGTGTGTGCACATGTGTGCATGTACTCACCTATTCGTGGTTGCAGGGGTTGAGTCATAGCTCCTGGCCCCGCCTCTTCGCTGATTGCTACTAGGTCCTCTCTCTCCCTGCCCCACTTTCTAGGCTATACCACGGCCTGACAACTCTATGACTGAAGAAATACTTCCTAAAATCCCTTTGATGTGTGCGTGTGTGTTCATGCATGTGTGCTTGTGTGTGCATGTGTGTGGACATATGTGCGTGTGTGTGTGCATGTGTGTGCGTGAATGTGCATGTGTGTGTGAATGTGCATGTGAGTGCGCACACGTGTATGTGTGTGCGTATGTGTGTGCGTATGTGTGTGCGCATGTGTGTATGCATGTGTGTGCATGTGTGTGCATGTGTGTGTGTGTGTGTGTGTGTATGTGTATGTGCATGTATGGTTTTCCAATATTAATTGTATAAACAATAATAACCTTGAATAGAACAGTATCACCTTAAAACACTTAATAAATTAAATTCATATTAGGAAACAAAATCTAAAAATTATTAAGCAATATAATAAATCTTCTGACAGATTATAGAAGATATAATGAACAACATGAGCAAAAAATTTCACTGCTTACAGAAGTCAGAGACCGAGAGAGATGAAAGTTCAGAGCAAAACATACAAGAGTTTCATGCGAATGTGCTTCCATAATGGAAAAATCCATATCTTCCCAAGACATACAAACAGTTCAGTGATAGAGTCTGATCTCTCCATAATAATGACATGCTTTTGTAATTTCCCTCTGAAAGTGAGAGGGGAATTTAAAATTGTAAGAATATTTCTTATATGAAGAGAAAATAACAAAGGAAGAGAATGTTGGCATAGTAACCCTCTGAAAGTCCAAAGGCATTCAAAATTCAGAAGTGATACTGAACAGGAGAGAAAGATGGGATTAAGTGATGGTGTTGGTCTGTCAGCAACTGCCCAGAATCCTGTCAAGATCAATTTTCGTGCTTGCCATGCAAGAAGCGGTTGGTGTAGCATGCTTTGTCGAGGCCCACTTTAAAATCACTCAACATGCCCCAGAAGAGACTTGAATTTAAAAAGGAAAATGAAAATCACTCAGGCAAGAGTGTCCTGTTTCAGGAGCTCATGGAAGGAAAAATATGTTTGAGCGGATGTCGTAGAATCCCCAAAAAATGCTTCTTTTCTAACACAGATTATTAAAAACAGGATGTTACACAGGCAGCACTATTCACCTGTACTTGGGAAGAGTGAATTGGTTGACTCTTCTGCAAGTCTCTGAGTTTAGCCTCAAAGTTTAACTGTTTATCGCTGTTAATTTGTGGAAGTTTCTGAGATTCATTTGAAACTTCAACTAGTGCATCAGCCTTAGTCTGTACCTCCACTTTGCTCTCAACATGGACTAGGGCTTGGCCTTTAGCATGAGTACTTTCAAGAGTTTGAGTCTTGCTCTTAAGTAGAACTGAAAGCTTTTTATCATCAGGATAAACCTGAGGCTGGACTTGTGGTGGTTTCTTCCCTACATCCTCACTCTGTGATGTATTGAACACAGGATTTGAAAACAAAACTGATATAAAAGTAGCATTGTGTTAATAAATAAAGATGTACCTTTAAAGACAATACTTAATTATCATCTTTTTTTCTACATTTTTTCAAAATAAACTTCTTCTAGTAAACACAACTGTGTTTACCCTTGGTAAATAAATTCAACATGCATGCAGGAAAAGCATGCAGTTGTTCACCTTTTCAGAAGCCGCCGCCAAGGGCACAGCTTTCGTAATCTGCATCATCTTTGATTCGAAACTCATCTTTTTGCTCTCTTTATCTGCAGAGGCCTCTGTGGGCTTCCCTTCCCCTGCAGGTGCCTAGAAACAATACCACAGTGCCATCAACACAGAAAGCCATCACGACAGAGCCATGAGTGGCAAAAAAGCTTGAGGCTTGTGTTCCCATTACACTCCCCAGAACCTGGGCCTCACCACCCTGTGCTCAGTGACTTGGCTAGAGCACAGTGCTCAACACTACAATTGTTGCTGATTTTACAGTGTTCCACAGGAAATGTGGTGCCAGTGTTTTGGGGAATGCAAGAGAAAGTGCTGCTTGTGGTGAGAGTTAGATTTCTAAATGGTAAAGTATTTCCACCCTTCACTTTCATTTCATATCTTTATCTCTTTACATATTTCTTTCCCTTTCTCTCTCTCTCTCTCTCTCTCTCTCCCCCCATCTCTTTTTTGATATTTTTCCTATTTTCTCATGTTAAACCTCTCTACATCATTCACATGTACTGAGTCCTCTGTTTCATCTTGCATTTTTTCACATACACCGAATCCTCTATTTTGTCTTGCATCCTTTCACATGCAATGAATACACTCTTTTGTCTTGTATCATTTCACATGCACTGAATTCTCATTCTCTTATTCTTTCAATATCTCTCTCATATTCTCCATTTTCATTCATCTGTTTCTTCAATCTTGCTTAAATACCTAGTTTTCACATATTTACTCATTCCTTTTATGTACTTCACTCACTCCTTTACTTTATTCATTACTATTTTATCTTCTGTACGTCTGAGTAATATACTGTAATTGTGCTTCTCATTCAGTTGCTTCAGAAGGGACTCCATTTAGAAGCCTGCTTTACCAACCAAAAAAGTGATGTATAGGCATGACCCACATTCAACAGTCAGGAAATTGCACCAATGCTTTCGATCAAGCTAGAGACCCTTTTCAGGTGCCTGATGAGGGTTTCCAATTAGATCGGAAATACTTGAACTGTTCTCTTTATGTTGAATCTGTTTCATTCCTGTTGATTACTAATGTGGTCAGTATATGGTTCACCCAATAAAAGTGATAGTGAAAACATTTTTCAAGCAGTCTCAGGCACATATATGAGGCTCTGCACTAGAGTGTGACTGAGAAAGGAGACAAAAAAAAAAAAGACACACACACACTAGGGGGGAGACTAGAGGCATAACTAAGCTCAGGGGATACGTGTGCTATGGCGAAAAAAATTCGAGTGCAGCGTGACCTCAGTGTTAAGGGATTAGTGGGAGCGGGGAGGTTAATGGGTGTTTGTCTGATATTGAGCGATTTGTATGTTTAAATATTTTTAATGCTGCCGATAGCAAGAGTTAACCATGCACTGGAGGAACTGAAAGTCACCTTAGTGGCATCGCTCTCGGCCATCGCGTGCTCCGTCCGAGTCTTCATGTCGAAATCAATGATCTGGGAAGCGGAGGAGGTACGGTGGTGTCAATACAGTTACATGAGCCATTTCCAAAACAGATTAAAGATTGTAAGTGTTAGTTATTTATTGTAAAAATCTATATTATATCTTTCTTTGGATTTTTTACGAGTTTGTGGGGATGCCGGAGAAAACTTAACAAATGGAAGGAGAAACTGCTCATGTTAAAGTAGTAGGTAAAAAACGAATGGGGAACTAAACTAATCAAGGGGTTCAGTGAATAAAAAAAAATAATTATCTACTGGAGAGACAAAAGTAATTATGACGGAACTACGTCTTTAAACCGCCAAGGAGAAAATGCTATCAATAACTAGGTCTAATTTCGTCTGTTATACAGGTGAGACTGAATTATTTTATAAATTTAAAATAATTATTCGAATATGGTACTAAAATTTAATCTATTATCTACATTTAAAATGTCGACTCAATTCAATAGTTATGATCCACTTTGACTGCTATATTTAAAATAATAAATTGATAAAACCCATAAAAATTTAAAGTACCAACTACTTGGAAAATGGGATAAAATTCAGTAAAATATTTACAAATATATTTATTACTGATGCGTTGAACTACATGGAAAAGATCCACCTAATTATACACTATGAAAACTTGCTCCATTTGTTGCATTTAAAATACCGATCAAATCATAATAATTATAATAGAATAATACGCATTGTAAAACTAAAACTAGATAAATTCCAACACAAGGCTATCTATGCGAAGTGGAAAATAGTATTCAACATTAACAAGGTAGAAGTTAACTCGCTGCAGACAAAGGGTAGTCAACACAACACAATGCACTGCTCTCTTTCCATCATAAACACTGCAGGTTCACTCATGAAATCAAGCATCTATGACTTGCAAATTGATTTAAAATGCAAAGCACAATGTCAAAACTTTTGTTGCAGTCAAGGGGTATACGCAAAAGTTTATAATTTAGTAAAAAAAAAAAATTATCTATTACATCAGGGTGGTATACAATATAAAAATTCCTTGAAGAAAGTATATGATATTGTAATTTACCACAAGAACAATTATTTAAAAACTACATTTATTCACTAATGCTTTTTTTTTATAATAGAGCATTGCAGTCAAGACTTTAAATTTTTCAAAATGATTTGTATTTTATAAGTTTTAAAATTTACACGCGTAAGGCAAGCGAAAGTAACTAGAATACGAAAAATCTAGCAGGATTAATGTAAACAGAAATATTCACCTTAGATTCCTTTGGCTTCTCCTCTTTTGCCTACGAAAGAAGGAATAGAAAGAAGTGTTGAATAACAAAGAAAAGAAAGAAAGAAGATAAAAATTGATAGATAGATTGTGATTTTATATGTTTTCACAATTTCACCTAGGAAAACGTTATAGAATAGAAATTTAGCAGATTAATGTAAGAATTTTACCTTAGATTTTGCTTCTTTTTTAAAGAAGAATAGAAGATGTTGATAAAACAAAGAATAGTAAGAAAGAAGATATAAAATGATATAGATAGAGTTATATATTATATGTATTTTTCAGCATATTCTCTAGGTAAACTATTAAATTATTTGCATAATATGGTATATAATATCTTAAAATATAAATTTCATATATATATATATATATATAAAATATATATATAATATATATATATATATATATATATATATATATAATATATATATATATATATTATATATATATATATATATATATATATATATATTTTATATATATATATATATATATATATATATATATATATATATATATATATATATATATATATATATATAATACATACATACAACATACACATACACATACACACACACACAAACACAAACACACTATTTCAGATGTGTACAGACGTGTCATTACATCAAAGGAAGAGAAAAACCCAAGACCGCATAGCATTTTCCAATTAACATAATTTACATTCAGCCTTACATCATAGCTTTTCCAGAAGTTGGAACACATAACAAGGCCCATCATTTATTTATTTTTAAAACAGTATTTATAATGGACATTAAAGTATGTGTTGAACTCCAAATCATAATGAACAAATGTGTCAAGAGGACCACATCAGTAAACGTTCCAGTTAAAATTTAAACTTTAAAAAACAGACGTGTTTTGAGAAGATGCACTTTACAATGCATGTTTCAGAACAACTGACATGTTTTACTTAGTTCATGAGAAAATGTGGATTGGCCAAAGATTTGTCCCATCTGAAGAAAACCAATCAAGTATTATTTTGGAAATTTTTTATGTGCCAGATTTTACTTTACATTCCAACAACTACAGGTGCTCCTCAACTTATAATGGGGTTACGTTCCCTCAAACCCACCCTAAGTTGAATGAGATATAATAAATAATAAAATAAATAAATAGGTAAATAAATAAGTAAATAAATAAGTACATAAATAATAAATAAATTAACAAGTAAATAAATAAATAATTACTATCACTGAACAAGTAAATAAATAAATACTGTCACTGAATAAGTAAATAAACAAATAATTACTGTAACTAAGTAAATACCAGTATTGAAAAATAAATGAATACATGTTGCCTTCATGCTGGGTAGTCATCTTAAATCGCACCTTCGTAAAGTCGAAATTTCGTAAGTTGAACCATCCTAAGTCAAGGATCACCTAGCAGTTTTATCCAACCTTTTTAAAAATGATCAAATATGATATTACTTACATATATACCAAACAAATCTCAGAATTTGCATAAGTATATTAAACCATTTTCCTTGGAAGAGGCAAGTCTTTGGGCAAGCTGAAAATATAATGTGGCCGAAGTTTACACAGAATACTTTGACGTGCTTTAAAGCTGCTTAAGAACAGACTGAGCTGCAAGCTCACTACACAGCACTATGATGTGTTACATGTTCAAACCACTGGATATGTCCGAAAATAAGGTCAACAGTGTATACTCGACAGCTCATGACAAATTTACCACACATGTACAGACCAAGACATGTACACCTCTACAACAACACTAATGCTTCACTAAAGCCTTTACTTACCTTGCTTTGCCTTTTAATTTTCCACAAGATCTGTTCCATGTAAAGAAATTCTATAACAAGAACCAAAAAACATCATTAATAATATTTCATACAGCTTGCCTATTTGGGCTGGTTCACACGGCATCTAACTTTGATGACGTAATTCTTATATTTTTTAGGGGGAGGGGGTGGGGAAAGGGCATAAAATTTTCTTGGTTCCTGCTATATTTGATATTTCCATGATTCTAAATTTGTATAATTGAAAACTGCTCACCTTGTGTAGAAGGAATTCATGGTAAAATTGGTTATTTTCAAAACTGCCAAGCAATGATCAGCTTGCATTGTAAGATTATGTTGGCACAAGTAACACTGTATCATTAGAACTTTAAGCCTGGATGCCTAGCTATATTTGACAAAGTAATTTACATAATAAACAGCAGATTCTTATCAGAAGATCAAGATTCATGAGAGTTTCTTGAATATCGGACTCCTCATTCTCTTGATAGTGAGGCCACGTTTTAGCTTTCTTTAATTCCTCTACCTCTGAAGTGGATATTTCCCCTATCCTTCATGTTCTCTGGCCTCAGTGTTGCACTACTGAGGTGTATGCTGAATTTGCTAGTTCTCCCCATGAACCTAGAGACAGAAGTAGCTCACCTTACTGAGGTCTCCTGGATAGGGTTCTATCCTGGCATTGACAGCTTCCCTGGACTCTGTGCCACTTTCATACTCGGTAGAATACTGTGCATCGCCCTCCACGAACCTCTCCTCGGAACCCTAAGGCAATATTCTAGAGTCACTACAATTTTAAATCACTAGACAACGAACATTCCTAAAGCACTTGGTTGGTTAACTGGGTTTAAAGTCTATTGATTACATAGGAGTTATTAAAGCAGCATATAATTTGTTCAACAACAAGCAAGGTTACTTTCTTAAAATAGGGATTAGCATAAACATTCAGTGTATACACACTGAGATAAACACCTGTCACTATATATACAGTGGAACCTTAGTACTCGAACTTAAATCATTCCAGAAGACTGTTCGAGTGCTGATCTGTTCAAGTACCGAATGAATTTTTCTCAACCAATTTTCTTTTGGTTGGCTGTTATCACTAATCTTTTTAGGCCCCATGGTGACTTATTTATACAAATAATATAAAAAAAAACACCAAAAATGTGAAGAAACACAAAATAGTTTACAGCGAAGTTCCAGCAGGTTGTGTTTGTTTGGTCGAGTGCCTAGCAAATGGTTGACTACCAAGTGGTTTTATGCCAAACAAGGCATTTGAATATCAAATTGTTCAAGTAGGGAGCTGTTCAAGTACTGAGGTTCCACTGTAACTATTGTTAAAACACAGTTTACTAAATTGTCAAAATTCTCTTAACATTAAATGACTGATTTGGTTCACAAGAGTATATGGAAAAAACATATATATCTGATGAATTTTTTTAAAAATAGACAAAAACTACCAAAATGCTTTTTATGGAAAGATTCTCTGTTACATAATAAATAATCAACAGAAGTATGATCAGAGAATGGTTATTATGTACAAAAATTTAATAAGCTTTAGGAAAGAGGAGAAGTTGAAGAATTCACACTTATCATCACAAAACATACCTTGGTGTCAAGAGGTTAGAATGGAAATGCAAGAAGCAACATATCAGAAAGAAACAAAGGAATCATCTTAAGTTTCACCTGCCCACCTCAAGGAAAACACTGATATTTTATGTAATGTTTAACAAAAGGTTTCATAATTTTGCCCTAAAACTAAGAAATAATAGCTCTACCTTACTCTAATTTACATGAAACATTGCTATGTAAATTTTAAATAGTTTTAACATTTTGGACGAAAACCAGCAAAGAAGTCTAGCCTAACCTTGCTAAAATTAATATAAAATTAATTCATTTAATTTATGTAAACTCTCTGATAATTAACAATATTGTATTTCATTGCTATCCTTGAGGGCCAGAGTGAAAATCTTCAGGCGAGCCAAGAAACCTTGTTAAAATTAATATATACAGCAAGACGTGTTTGCCTGGATTTCACTTTATAGACATGCAGTGCTGTATTGAATGCTATCTCTGATGACCAAGTGTAATTATATATAAAATATTTTTAATATCACTGTGCTAGTTTTACAATGAGTTTCGTGCTTTAATTTGTAAAGTATGTAACCATTAGCTAGCTAGCCTGCACTTTAAAGGAGGGGTTTGGGATACTGGCAGTTTGGAGGGACATGTTGTGTATCTTTATACATATATGCTTCTAAACTGTTGTATTCTGAGCACCTCTGCAAAAACAGTGATTATGTGTGAGTGAGGTGAAAGTGTTGAATGATAATGAAAATATTTTCTTTTCGGGATTTTTTTTTTTTTTTGGGTCACCCTGCCTCGGTGGGAGACGGCCGACTTGTAAAACAAAAGCCTGTAATTGTTTTACATGATGATAGGATTGCTGGTGTCTTTTGTCTGTCTCATAAATATGCAAGATTACAGGTATGTCTTGCTACTTCTACTTACACTTAGGTCACACTAAACATACATGTACACGTTTATTTATACACACTCATCTGAGTTTTCTTTGACTTTATCTTAGTTCTTGTTCTAATTACTTTTCCTTTTATATCCATGGGGAAGTGGAATAAGAATCTTTCCTCCATAAGCCATGCGTGTTGTAAAAGTCAACTAAAATGCCGGGAACAATGGGCTAGTAACGCCTTTTTCCTGTAAAAATTACTAAAAAGATAAGTAGAAGAAAACTGTCAAAGTGGGAAGTTTGAATGTGCATGGATGTTGTGCGAATGATAAGAAAGAGATGATTGTGGATGTTATGAATGAGAAGAAGCTGGATATCCTGGCTTTAAGTGAAACAAAGCTGAAGGGGGTGGGTGAGTTTCAGTGGAGAGGAATAAATGGGATTAGGTTAGGGGTTTCTAATACAGTTAGAGCTAAAGAAGGAGTAGCAATAATGTTGAAGGATAAGTTATGGTAGGAAAAGAGGGACTATAAATGTATTAATTCAAGGACTATGTGGAGTAAAATAAAGGTTGGATGTGAGAAGTGGGTTATAGTAAGCGTTTATGCACCTGGGGAAGAGAGAAGTATAGAGAACAGAGAGAGATTTTGGGAAATGTTGAGTAATTGCGTGGGGAGTTTTGAACCAAGTGTGAGAGTACTTGTGGTTGGGGATTTTAATGCTAAAGTGGGAAAAAATGTTGTGGAGGGAGTAGTAGGTAAATCTGAGGTGCCAGGGGTAAATGAAAATGGGGAGCCTTTAATTGAGCTATGTGTAGAAAGAGGTTTGGTAATAAGTAATACATATTTTATGAAAAAGAGGATAAATAAATATACAAGGTATGATGTAGCACGTAATGAAAGTAGTTTGTTAGATTATGTACTGGTGGATAAAAGGTTGATGGGTAGGCTCCAGGACGTACACGTTTATAGAGGGGCAACTGATATATCGGATCATTATCTAGTTGTAGCTACAGTTAGAGTAAGAGGTAGATGGGATAAGAGGAAAATGGCAACAACAAGTAAGAGGGAGGTGAAAGTGTATAAACTAAGGGAGGAGGAAGTTCGGGTGAAATTTAAGCAACTATTGGCAGAAAGGTGGGCTGGTGCAGGTATGAGTAGTGGGGGGTTCAAGAGGGTTGGAATAGTTTTAAAAATGCAGTATTAGAATGTGGGGCAGAAGTTTGTGGTTATAGGAGGGTGGGGGCAGGAGGAAAGACGAGTGATTGATGGAATGATGAAGTAAAGGGTGTGATAAAAGAAAAAAAGGTAGCTTATGAGAGGTATTTACAAAGCAGAAGTGTTATAAGAAGAGTAGAGCATATGGAGAGTAAAAGAAAGGTGAAGAGAATGGTGAGAGAGTGCAAAAGGAGAGCAGATGGAAAGAGTGGGAGAGGCACTGTCAAGGAATTTTAATGAAAATAAGAAAAAATTTTGGAGTGAGTTAAACCAATTAAGAAAGCCTAGGGAAAGTATGGATTTGTCAGTTAAAAACAGAGTAGGGGAGTTAGTAGATGGGGAGATGGAGGTTTTGGGTAGATGGCGAGAATATTTTGAGGAACTTTTAAATGTCGACGAAGAAAGGGAGGCGGTAAATTCATGCACTGGCCAGGGAGGTATACCATCTTTTAGAAGTGAAGAAGAGCAGGATGTGAGTGTGGGGGAGGTGCATGAGGCATTACATAGAATGAAAGGGGGTAAAGCAGCTGGAACTGACGGGATGATGACAGAAATATTAAAAGCAGGGGGGGACATAGTGTTGGAGTGGTTGGTATTTTTGTTTAATAAATGTATGAAAGAGGGGAAGGTACATAGGGATTGGCAGAGAGCATGTATAGTCCCTTTATATAAAGGGAAGGGGGACAAAAGAGATTGTAAAAATTATAGAGGAATAAGTTTACTGAGTATACCAGGAAAAGTGTATGGTAGGGTTATTATTGAAAGAATTAGAGGCAAGACAGAATGTAGAATTGCGGATGAGCAAGGAGGTCTTAGAGTGGGTAGGGGATGTGTAGATCAAGTGTTTACATTGAAGCATATATGTGAGCAGTATTTAGATAAAGGTAGGGAAGTTTTTATTGCATTTATGGATTTAGAAAAGGTATATGATAGAGTGGATAGGGGAGCAATGTGGCAGATTTTACAAGTGTATGGAATAGATGGTAAGTTACTAAATGCTGTAAAGAGTTTTTATGAGGATAGTGAGGCTCAGGTTAGGGTGTGTAAAAGAGAGGGAGACTACTTCCCAGTAAAAGTAGGTCTTAGACAGGGATGTGTAATGTCACCATTTTTGTTTAATATATTTATAGATGGGGTTGTAAAAGAAGTAAATGCTAGGGTGTTCGGGAGAGGGGTGGGATTAAATTATGGGGAATTAAATACAAAATGGGAAGTGACACAGTTACTTTTTGCTGATGATACTGTGCTTATGGGAGATTCTAAAAAAAAATTGCAAAGGTTAGTGGACGAATTTGGGAATGGGTGTAAAGGTAGAAAGTTGAAAGTGAACATAGAAAAGAGTAAGGTGATGAGGGTATCAAATGATTTAGATAAAGAAAAATTGGATATCAAATTGGAGAGGAGTATGGAAGAAGTGAATGTTTTCAGATACTTGGGAGTTGACGTGTCGGCGGATGGATTTATGAAGGATGAGGTTAATCATAGAATTGATGAGGGAAAAAGGTGAGTGGTGCGTTGAGGTATATGTGGAGTCAAAAAACGTTATCTATGGAGGCAAAGAAGGGAATGTATGAAAGTATAGTAGTACCAACACTTTTATATGGATGTGAAGCTTGAGTGGTAAATGCAGCAGCGAGGAGACGGTTGGAGGCAGTGGAGATGTCCTGTCTAAGGGCAATGTGTGGTGTAAATATTATGCAGAAAATTCGGAGTGTGGAAATTAGGAAAAGGTGTGGAGTTAATAAAAGTATTAGTCAGAGGGCAGAAGAGGGGTTGTTGAGGTGGTTTGGTCATTTAGAGAGAATGGATCAAAGTAGAATGACATGGAAAGCATATAAATCTATAGGGGAAGGAAGGCGGGGTAGGGGTTGTCCTCGAAAAGGTTGGAAGGAAGGGGTAAGGGAGGTTTTGTGGGCAAGAGGCTTGGACTTCCAGCAGGCGTGCATGAGCATGTTCGATAGGAGTGAATGGAGACGAATGATATTTGGAACCTGACGATCTGTTGGAGTGTAAGCAGGGTAATATTTTTTGAAGGGATTCAGGAAAACCGGTTATTTTTATATAAGAACATAAGAACATAA